AAATGGGGGGGGGGGGGGGTATAGCTGATCCTCCTCCATCTCTTGTAGCATCCTCGATTACCTTCCGTCCTTCAATTTCCAGTCTAGCATCGCCCATACGAGCAATGAAGAGCCTATCCTTCTTCCTCTCTTATAGCATTCTCGACTACCTTCCGTCCTTCAATTACAATCAATCCTCTCCGGTACGAGCAAGATACGGTCATCCTTCTTCCTCTCTTTACCCAATGGGTACAATATCCTCCGCAGGAGCTGCAGTCAAGTGCTTTGTAGGCCAACAGCCCAGTGAATTGGGTGGGGCAAACTAAGTACCATATTAACAACAGCCAATGAGCAATCAGCTGAAGTAGGTACCTTCACGGAGGGGCCACACAACTGTATCCTCAACATAATGCGTAGTTGAAAGACGGTTCAGCAAGTCGGACTTTTTTTATCCTTTTCTCATCGCATTTTTATCCTTAATCGTCAATATTTAGCACACGTTGTCCTGATCATGTTTCTATCCAAATATTGTGCTTGCATGCTTTGAAACGGGGAAAAAATGTTTTGTCGAACTTATTTATTTATTATTTTTTTTTCTTACTTAAAAATGTAAGGAACAAATAAGTCTTCTTATGTCTCATAACGGAATCNATTTTGTAATTAAACCGTAAAATTCATCACCTTATTGTTTATTTTTCATTCTGAAGAATAAAATTTTGAATCCAATTTTCGATAGAAACTAGAACTCAATTCCCCATTCATTTTCTCTCCCACTTAGAATTTCGGAACTAGAATTGAAAATAAGATATTTTATTGCTACTTATTTTTATATTTTTTATGTCTTGCTTAATTTAATTTAATTTCTTTTATTTCAGTCAATTTTATAATAATTTAACTTTACTTTCGTGAGATCGAAATCAATTGAAACATGATATATCATTATGAAAATCTTATTTATATTTATCAACTTGAAATTCACTAAAATTTATATAAAAAAAAAAAATCAATTAAATAAAATGGAAAAAATACATAACTTCCAACATTTAAAGATACACTTTCAAACTTGACAAACTTGTGGAATATTTTTCAAATATCAGGTCGTAATAATAAAAATATGTTAAATTCATAATAATATATAATTTATAGTCACAATTACGTACGAGTCACAAATCACATACGTCATTACTAGAAAGATATAAAATGTGTGTATGAAAATTTAGTAACATAGTATACATTTTTATACGTCACAACTTATTTATCGATCACAAGTTATCGAATTAATTTCTTGATCACAATTATTAAATTAATTGATCACAGCTATTGCATCGCCACCAGCACTGTCATTATGGTCAAACCATCGTCCTATGACCAAATTAGACGTTGATGACATTCACCATAGGTTTTTTTAGACATTTTAAAATCAATGACAGTGATCTCATTACCTGAATCAAATTGGAGATGGCAAATTTGGAGACTTTGATATGAGTGTACAAGGGTTTGCACACAAAATCGAGGTAGCTACCATGGAATTAGGAAATGAGTTGTTCGTGTCTAGGTATTGAGTGATGAATTGAGGATGGTGGCACCAACTCCATGTATGAAGGTGCCCTGACGTGTGCTATGCTTGTAAGGAATGAAATATAGTAGAGGAATTAAATTAGTATGTCAGAAAAATGTTTTCTCACATGATTGATATACACTTACATGTACGTGGAATCCGCATTAAATAAAAAATGACAAAAAATTCTTCCCCTCCACAATGTGAGTGTTCTGTCAAAGAAGGGGTCATACCCTCTTGGCAAAACTCTCCTCGACTACATATCTTTGTTCTCTCAAATAGAAAGTTGGGAGACATGGTAGGTTATGGAGATTAAGGTGAGGGGAATAGGGGTCCATGATTAAGTATTATCAATTCCTGATTTTAGATAAAATATTATCAATACCTGATTTTTGAATTTAAAATTTTTAAGGTAAGGGACGAGGCAATTTTCCCTAAATAAAATTCTTTAAAAATCCAAGTGTTAATTGAAAGACCCACTTACACAGGAGTTTTTAATTCTAGTTGAGTATACCTTTGGATGAAGAGAGAGAAGTTTGAGAGCTCCAAATTCCAAAAAAAATGTCATCTTGGTTTCCCTCAATTTTCAATGATAATCGTTCGCCCCAACCCTCTTCCCCCACAACTCCCTCTGCCGGCGTTAAGGAAGACCTTTCCACCCTATTCAGCGGCGTCGCTGCCTTTCTTGCGCCGCCGCCGCCGCCGCCCAAAGCGGATATGATTTCGGGAATAAAGAACGACTTGGCGGAAATTCAGGGTACCTTTAAATCGGGACTCTCTTTACTCTCCTCAAAATTCACTTCCAATTTATTGCAGTTTCCGATGGAAACGAAGGATAGTAATGATGATGATGATGATGATTTGGAGGAGGATGGTGCAGTGGGAATCACTGAGGAAGTTGTGGATTTTGTTAGAAAAATTTCATCAAGGCCTGCTCTTTGGATTGATTTTCCTATCTCTCTTCCCGAAGGTAATTAATCCAACTTCAGTCTTAATTTTTCAGTGCAGTAAACTTTGTTGATTCTCTTAGATGATATTCACTTTTACACACACTATTATCAGTAAGTATTTTAGTTATTTGATTGAGTGATGATTAAAGTGTTATTGTACTTTGGATTATCGGAATTACCTTTTGATTGTTTCAGAACTATTATCGTGATAAAGAGAATGCTAATGTGATGAATGTGTGCATAAAGTTGTTTCTCGAGCCATCAGTATAAATACTATTTGTGGGTATTATTTTGGACAAATATTTGGCAAAATACTTGCCTACAGTAGATGGCAGAGCTATCTAGTAAATGCTGGATTTTGTCGTTGAAAAGTGGGGAAATATATTAGATTAAAAGGGTCTGAATATGGGTAGACTTAGGGTCTTGAGGATGTTGTGGGAGAAGGTCTTAAGGGGTTGTTAAGGGACTAATATAGTAGACGAGAATGGTAGTTCTTTTGAAATCGGGCTATTAGAATGATTTTGTTGTTGTAGAGTTTTGGGCTATACAATTTGCCTAAGCATGTTGAAATTTCAATATCCAATCCAAGAGTCTGTCCACCAACAGCATTAGATATGCTCTACGCCACATAAAGAAACTGATAGTGTATTAGACACAAAAGAGACCGAACCCAAAACCTTCTACACCAAAAAAGAGACAAATCCAAAAACAAGATATTTAGGGGCTGTTAAGGGTCTAATGAATAGTAGCTGAGAAAGTAGTACTTGGGAAATTGGACTATCAGGATTATTCTGTTGCTGTTAAGGTTTGGGCTATACAAATTGCCTAAACATGATAAAATTTCAATATCCGTAGCTGAGAAAGTAGTACTTGGGAAATTGGGCTATCAGGATGATTCCTTTGCTGTTAAGGTTTGGGCTATACAAATTGTCTAGACACAATAAAATTTCAATATCCCAGAGTCTGTCTACAAAAAGCATTAGATATGCTTTACACCACATATCTATCTATGGAGTCGATTGAAATCTGAAAGAACCTTATAAATAGCCCTCCCTTTCTCCCAATCAAACAATTGTCTGTAAATGGAGGAGTGTTATTGTGTTTTGTGAAAGAAAATCATGTTTTAATAGAATTCTTTTGATATTTTTGCTTAAATGGCCCAATGAATGGATTGGAGAACATATTATAGCATTCCATTACCTGTTGATGTCCCTGTAGGATTCCAACGAGTTAGGTTACTAACTGTAGCAGGCAGAGTGATAAATTATGCAATTAAATTGAAGTTGAGTGACCTAATTTAGAATTTGATGAAAGTTGAGCTATCAAAAGTGAAATGTACCCAATTAAAAATCGACAAATGTAGTAAAAAATGGTATGTGATATCATATATCGAGCCAGGTTCCATTTTGATATTGGTGAAGGAAATAATGTGTCTCATAAGATCTATTTACCTTGCAGTTCTCTTTAAATTAATGGTGATCTTGCATACACAAGCCAAATAGTACAGAACAAGCTACATATGAAATCACAGATATTTCGTGGGTAAAACTGGACCTGTAATCAGTGGGAAAATGAGAAGGTACACTGGAGAAGTTGTAGTGAAAGCAGATGACAACCGTCTTGAAACTCATCCTTTTACTGTACCAGTTTAAATAAACTTGAATGCACTTGCAATGAATGAAAGTAATCTTAATTCCCTTGTTCATGTAACTGCAATTTTTAGAAGGCTGAACATCTGCAAAATCTTAATGACATTTTTTGTGATATTGTAGCTTGTGCGTTAAACTAGAATGGGTCTTTGCAAATAGTTCAGCTGTATTAGTATGAAGTATTGTTACCCTGTAATTCTTAGTAATCTATTTATCATCAGATGATAGATATTTATTTGTGCGTGAATTGGTGCTGAGCCTTAAAATATGTTGTTGTAGATGTTGATATGTCTGACTACCAGAGAGAACATGCTGCAGAAATTGAGCATTTGGTACCAAATCTCGTGAATCTAAGGCAGAAAATTAGCGGTCAAATAAGCCACGGGAAATTTTGGATGATCTATTTTATTTTATTGTTCCCCAGGTTGAATGAAGAGGATTTAAAGCTTTTGTCAACTCCAGAGGCAAGATTCCGTCCCTCATAAACGTTATTTTTATCTGTCTTCCCTTGCATGTTGAAACTTTTAGAACCTGCAAATGCAATGGAGCAAAGATTTGCTGGTTTAATATTAATAATACAAGCTCCACACCTTATCACTAATTAAGTTCTCACAAGAAACAAAGTGTCTGATATAAGCTAAGTAGATAGTTCTATATTTGCTTGGAAATTTTTATCAGCTGGTGGTAATTCCTCTTAAGACGCTTTGTTTGAAATACTTCTCTTTACGAATTGTCCAGTACTCATTGTTTTTTGGTTTTATACCTCCACTGTTATAAGCGGAAAAACTTCTTTTTTCCTGGCCAGAGCAATAGAGTCATGAAATATTTTGATTTATCTATAAAATCAAATGGGTTTACCTAGACCAATACATGATTTTCTTTTAGTCTTTCTGGGATCAGGTCTTATATTAGGAAGTCTAGGAGTAGTATTACTTCACAATCCAATTTATTTGGCCTGCTTTTCATTCAAACTTCTGTTTGTATTTTCCTTAGACGTGCAACAAGAAAGGTAGGTGCTGGCTCTGTGCAGATATTGAGTAACCAATGATTAGCTAGACTATTTGCCTTCAAACTCATCAACAATATATGGATCTTAAAGTGATAAAAACTTGGAACTCCTCAACATTATGTTCAACTTGATATACGAAGGCTTTGAAGTTTTTCCAACTTAGAAGTAACATAATTTTTTTTTTGCAGTGTCTATAGTTGAATGTCGTCGTACTTTCTCCCAACATAGTTTACTGAAATTTCCAACTTTATAACTATCCCATGTCTAGAGGGAAGTTGATTATATCATTAAATAATCTCTGTGCTGAAGGTTTAGTGAATCTATGGGGAAATGAATGGGGGCTACTTCTGATTCCACTGTCATAAGTATAAAATCAGCCAATACCCCTCCTTTGCATCGGGTTTGCTCCTCTCTCACTGCACCTAAAGAGTGACAATATGATCTCCAAGCTGGGAATTAGAGGCTGCTTAAAAGTTAAATGCCCTTTTCCTTTTCTTTCATTTATTTTTATATTACATTGGCATTAGGAGAAGAGGGGTTTATCTCTTTCTATTTTTTTTTTTTTTTTTTTTTTTTTTTGGGGGGGGGGGGGGGGGTATGTTTTTTTTTTTTTTTTTTTGGGGTGGGGTGTGGGGCTATGTACTAAGAAGTGTGAGTTAAATAAGAGTACTTTTATGACTTGGATATCATTCTTCAATCTAAAATTATACTTCTGTAAGGAAGCCTTACTTTTTGAAGGTTATGTAGTGAAAAATTCTTTGACCGTTACAGAAATATTGCTCTAATGGTTTTAACCTATTGACTTTCATCTTTTTGTTTGTATATTAATCAGTATATATGGAAAGTATATGGTCGGAAGGCTGCACAATCCAGTATTGTGTTATTTTGGGAACAAATGAGTTAAGACTTCCTGTGGTGTTACTAGTTATCTTAAAATGCCACCATGCACATTTTTTTGTCACTTTTGTTAAATAAACTGATTGTTGTTTTCTTGGTTTATTTCCTTTTACCTTCCACTAGGCAGTTAACCAATAATTCATTTCTTTTAAAAGGACAAAATGAGAAGCGCTAGATTTATTTGACAATTGACCAGTCTTGTTTTTGTAGATAAATAGTGACCCCATTCAATTAGTTTCTTTATTTCCAGTCTCAGTGGGGTAAATTGATTAAGTATTTGTAAAATGAGGAGTCACTTCTCTTTTTTCAGTTGAAGTTTGGTTTTGCAGGGTGTTGAAATGAGTGAGAAACTTTTTCAGAAGTTGCAAAATAAAAGCAATGCATGTGAAGATACAATCGAGAATTCAAAGACCATTGGTTCTTCCGAGGAGGATGGTGTCAACAAAGGAGAGGAAAGCACATCCCAGTATAACATGTCGAACGAGACTCTAAATGCGACAAAAGAAACAAAAGTTGCTAGCGATATGGATTCAGATCATAGGTCTCCAAAGAAATCTGATAACGAGGATGGATTTTCGTTGAGTGATTTGGAGGAGGATGACAATGATCTATCAGGATTTAAAAAGACACAGTTCAAGAAAGTTCTATCAGCAAGTGATGGCAAAGAATGGGTTGAACTGAATGAAAATTCCAGAGATCAAGATGATCGACGAGAGGTAAGCATCAGAGATAAAGGGTCGGAATCTGAAGAATCAAGTGATTGGTTCACTGTCGACAAATTTGATATAGACAATTCGACAGTAGTTTGAACCTTTGAAATCTGTAAATTCTTTTTCTATTTTTTCTTCTATTTTCCTTGTGAGTATACTGTGATCTGATTTTTTTCTGTTTGATTTTACCATTTTGCACATATGACTGCAACATTTTCTTAAAAGTTTAATTTAATGGGGGTGAAATACTGTCATATTTGTTACAATACAATGTTTGATCTCAAAATCATAAACCAAACATGTATTACAAGCAGATGATATCATTTTTAGTTTGATAATTGATCGCAGGAATTTGTGCAAGTGACATTCAGCTTAATTATGATTGCATATTATCCAAATTATTTTTGTAACGAAGACGTACTCAGCTATACCAATATTGAGGGACGGAATCTGGAGGATCGAATGGAATATAAATCACAAGGGTTTCTTGACATCAAAGTCAAAGTAATGGACTAATATCACAAGTGTTTCCTTGAAGAAGCATCCACGAATTTGATAATATCAAGAGACGAGGGTGAAAAGAAGCCATTGGGCACATATTGTATCTCTTATATAAACAATTTACACACAAGAAAAAGGATAAATTGAAGAAACACATATTTCAAGCGGACATTTGAAACTTTACACAAACATGTTTTACGCTAACATAAAAAAGTCTTTCTTTAATCATTTCTTCTACATTGTTTAGATTCTTGTTGAAGCATTCTATATGTATAGAAAATTGATTTACAGAAGTGCTATAGAATAGACACAATAGGAGGGTGGGTGGCTCTTATGGACAATATTTTAATCACATGAAGCCCACCCTCATGTAAGTGTCTGTAGCAATTTTGTGAAGCCCTTTTCTGTACAAATGGTTAAACCATCTTGTTTGCTTTTCATTATAATCTCTATAATTTAGAGATCAAAGTCAAATTTTAATTTTTAAATATACATTTCATAAGACTTACAACTTTACTGTTCATTTTTATCGCATTATAATTTTAACTACTTAAAAATGAAACTACTTTATACCCTCTTTTCTTGCTTTTCCGAAGAAGTTATTTCTTTGGCTAAATAGCACTTCTCTCCCCCCTCAAATTTGACCATTTCCGCAAGTAACCTGTCCAAAATTGTTGGAAAAACATTTAGCCCCTTAAAAGCTTATTATTATACATGATTGGTAAGTCCGATATGCATAAGAGAGTTCCATACTAACAATTCGTCCAATAATATCAAGGCCCGTTTCGCATAGACGCAAGTGAGGCCCTATGCCTCAAGCCTAACATTAGAGGGGGTCTCTGATTTTAGTCTCTTTTATTCTTCTTCATTTTTTTTAAATTTTTTTAAATTTTTTATAAATTAGGTCCACTATGATTTTTTTTTAAATTAAAAATTTGATAAATTAGACACATTTCATTTATAAATAAGGTCCAATAATTTTTTTCATTATCAGAATTTCATTTCTAAATTATGTTCATTTCAAATGCAACAGAAAGGGACAAGCGGCTTAGGATTTTTCAAACTCATGTTACAGTGATTTCTTAATTCTATCCAATTTGTTCATCACATAAGTAATATTCGACTTATTTATTTAAAATAAGAGTAAAGTCAGGTCCTTAGCGACATATGAACTTTGAAATTTTGAGTTATTGCTTGGCATGATAATCTGGTATAGGTGGTTGTGTCTAGTTAATATTATGAGTAAATTTCTTCAAATCGAAAAATGTTAATGGTGTTATCGACCTCTTACAAGGAATTTTTCATTTCTCGAAAATTATAGAGAAATTGAATTTGCTATTGTTATGATAAAATATAAAAAAAATGGCGAGTAAAATGGAAATTGAAGTTATATTTCGAGAAAATGTATAATTGGGAGAAAGAAGCAATGTGACAAAAGTAGTAGTGACAAGGTAATTCAATCAGTTGAAAATCTTTTAGAGTTGATATTTCCTTTTTATAAGTAATTAAGGTCTATTTTCTCTAAGATTTGATTTGAACAATTTAAATAATATGAAAAGATGTTTGAATTTTTGTTAAATTTGAAAAGGTCAAGGCATACAACTTTTTTTTTTTTTCAATTTGTTGAAACTTTGTATGAATCTTGAGAAGTATTTGCAACATAATGGACATTTGGATATTAATGGATATGATTTATGTTCTAATTTACATTGACTTGGGGTGCTATATATCAAGTGAAGCAACAAGAGCAACTAAAGTGATTCAATATTTTGAAGACATCCCAAATGCTTATAATACTTAAAAATTTTGTTAACCATTATTTATGTCCAATCAACTATATCACAAGAAAAACTAAATGGATTAACTATGTTATCAATTGAGAAAGAAATGGTTAAACATGTAGATTATTCAAATTTGATTAATATTTTTGTCTCTAAATTGCAAGACGAATAGTATTTAACTGACCATTTGAAATATTATCAACTTTGTTATTTGATTATAATATAAATCTTCGGTATAATATATTTTATTTGTTGATTTATTATTAAGTTTTAAATTAACAAGTTAATCATTGATTCCATAATACATTTATAGATTTTGCATGCATACTACAATTTTGGAACCTAATTCATGAAATTTGCCTCAGGCCCAAGTTTATGTTGAAGTTTTCTCACATCCATTGTGGATGAAGTTGGTATTCAGTTTATAAATGTGAGGGACAGCCTCATATTTTGAGCTAGCTTTTGGGGTGAAAGAGGCCCAATACCACCCAATATTGGTATCAGAGCCAAGTTTATCAACAAGTCTATGGCCCACTAGTTATATAGATAGGGTTTGTGTGAGAGGGAGATGGGTTTAGTCTCCTGTAGGGCCCGATGTGTGGGAGGAGACGTATTTGGTTTCCTACAAAGTTCGATATGTGAGGAGGAGATTGTTGAAGTTATCCCACATCTGTTGTGGATGGGGTTGATGTTCAATTTATAAGTATAAGAAAAAGTCTCACCTCTTTAGTTAGCCTTGGGGGATGAGAGAGGCACAATATCACCCAACAGTTTGATTGCTATACACAGGGAACGAATAACAGATTTACTTAGTTCTAAACTAGTGTTCAATTGCTTCATTAGATTTGCAAATTTAATGCAACTCACCTCCTTCATGACCTTGAGTCCTTTTTCTGTATATCCCTTCTTCCAACATAGAGAAGTCGCCTAAATCAATTGCATTATCAACTTCATATATTAGGATAACCTCTTCAGATTCCAAAAATGAAAAACATCGGATGGTTTATTTGAAAATAATAAGATATGCCTAGTAGTAAAATCATCGTACTTCTATCAGCCAAGAATTTCACGTTTTCAATAGCAATGATTGGCCAAGCTTAAGTAGAACATGTTCAGAAGCTGCTGCACAAGATAGTAGGTTGCTAGATATACTAATCAAATTATTCAAGATTTCTTATAATTCGGTGCAAATGATAAAGATTGAATTCAGAATACACTACGACATGATCAACATTAGACGGCCACATATTATCAAAATCCCAAAGAAATAATACAAATCCTTTTCATTAATCTAACCTAAAGTTGGCACCATAAGTGTCAGCCTAAGGCTACGATACTAAAAAGAGATCGAGAAAATAACTAAAAGTTAAATACAATACTCACAAGCCCAAAGTCAAATCGACATAGTTACATGAAATTTACTAAGTTGGTAACTTGCAAGTTTGAAAGGAGAAAAACTTTTTCAGTTCGTTTATACAACAACCGAGAATGACTATCACATTTCAATTAGAGGTGGAATATTTGTTCGGTACATAAAGTTACGCTTATGACCATTTTTTAAAAATTTGGGGTTCCATCTTAAAAATCAACCTTATTAAGAAGAGTAGCATATCCTTTATAAGTCGGTCTATATTTTTATTTTTATTTGATGTGAGATTTTATCCCTTTACATATCCCATAAGATGGTGGTTGAAATCATGTGCTCATTTTTTGAGTTTTAATAGGATTGAATTGTTCGTTAAAGTTTAATGAGCTTTGATACCGTGTAAAGATTTGAAGTTCGTTTTAAAGGGTCAATCTTATTAAGAGAAGTAGTCAAATCCTTTATAAGTTTGTCTATGTTTTCATTTTTATTTGACGTTGGATTTTATCCCTTAATATAATTTAAAATAGCAATGTTAATCTTTGAGTGGCTTAAGGCTAACATATTATCTCACTTAAAAGACCAATGACATGCCATCAGGACCCTCCTCTACTCCTGAGAATTGATATAACGATTTCAGAGGAGCTATCCGCTTTGTAGTACCTACATTCATAAAGTGGTCCTTCAACTGAGGCGACCTAGAACGAGGATGGTGTTGAGTTGGAGAATTTATAGTGTCGTGTTCCTCATAATTGAGTGGGAATTTTCTCTGTGGTGTACCTTGTTTTGGAAGGGTACGACTTAACAATTTTGGCTACAACACTTAGGCACCGCTTAGGTTCCAAAAAGTTATTAAAGCTCATTAAAGCTCGTAGTGTGATCAAAGCTAGTGATCTTTGTATAGGTCATTTCAAGCGGCATTAGAGTTGTTCCTGGAATACTTTGGACGCGAGAAGCCTATAAATGTATAATGGGGACCACAGAGGCTATCACCTCTAAAACCATAGTAACAAGGATATATATATATATCAATATATATATATATATATATATATGTTTAACTAAACCTAAATATCCTCACTTCAGTACATGCACTTTGGAATTTGAAATGGTTTTATAATTTAATATATATACATTAAACATAAATCATTCATTTAATTTAGATAATGAATAATTAATAAATTTTGTTTTGAATTTGACGACCAACCGTCAGAGTGATGAGACGTGGCTGATGAAAATAAATATTATATTAACTAATAAGTTGAATATTCAAACTTGACTTTTGACGTTTCAGCAATAGATAAGAATACAAGTGATTACCTTTATATATCATATGAAAGAAAAAATATATATATATATATATATATTTTTAAGAGTATCTTCAATAGACTCTTTATTCATAAAAAAAAATCTTATGCATAATTGATAAGTGCATTTTGTGCACTTATATAGACCACTAAATTAGGATATTTTGTATTACCTTTGACATCTTACAGTATGATCTCGTGTATTTATTGTTTGTCATTCTAAAATTCAGTAATTGAATTGAAACTGAAAGATAGGCACAAAAAGGGGCTAAAATGGATGGAATTCAAAATATAGGGACCAA